GCTATTTTCACGACTCAAACTCTTGGTGATTGTTAGTAATGGGCCTTCTATCAGTCTTTCCAAATATCTAAGTCAGTTTGAATATGTGATTGTATAAACTTCACTAGTGATCTATTTCATAGTATTCCCAGGCTTTTTTTCTTAAAGGGATAATGAAATAATATAAAGGGAGGAATTTGCAAACAATTTGTTAGTTTCATTATTTTAATGATAAATTTTTCCCATGGGGTTGCTTATGTGACTAAAATTAGAATAGGGATGGAAACAAAAACTTATTAGAATACATGGGAAGACGTATAACAAAACGACTATGGAGTGCTTGTTGGGTGGACTCCATGACTTTTTTTTTTTTTGGGGAGGGGGAATCAGGTGTAGTTCAACCTGTTGGAGGCTCGAATTTTTTATGACATCCACCATCTTATCTTCTTTACTGTCAATGATTAGTTTCCCAATGAGTTAGTAGTATTAGGCTACTAGCCACTAGGAGTAGCGACTAGATTTTAAGTTCCCCATACAAATGGCTGTTCAAGTGCCTTTTTTGTCGTTTTACCTTGTATTCAGGTTGTTACTTTCTGGGAAGGAGAGATTGTTGACACAAAGAATCATACTTTCTTCACTGGCAAGTGGGAAGCAAAGTAAGTTCATGTCTAACAACTTACTGCTATTTGGATTACAGCCAAAACCATTCTCCCCATGATTGGTTTGGAAATTATGAACAGGCCTGAAGACGACATAAGGCACTGGACCAAATTTCCATCTTTCTCACCCCTTCTGGTAATATAGTTAACCTTTTTCCTTGCCATTCAAAACATACGCTCTCTTGATTTTCTCTGCCCTTCTCAGAGCAAAGTGGAGGTTGATGGTGGGAGATATTTGGACTTAAGTAACTACCCCTGCATATTTATGGTAGTGTGTTTTTTGCGATTTCATTGAGTGAAGGGAGTTTACGCTATGTCATAATTAATTTCCATCTTCTGACTTTGACCGTGTAGAGATGGAAAGAGCAATACTTTGTGAATGTTGGAACTGACTGTGGGTTAACCATAGCTGGTTTCTACTATGTTTGCTTCTCCTGTAGTGATGGCTCCATCAATGGTTTCTATTATGATCCCAATAGCAGGTAACCCCTTGGTTTTATTTCCTTGTTTTGTCTTAAAATCTTGTCATAGTTTAAATTTACTCTTTGCTCTTCTTTGGAATAAAAATTCCTAAGGTATCACCTCCCAAAAAATTCCTAAGATACCAGTTTCCTGTTTTGTCATTTCATGGAGTTGTATATAAGGTCATATAGACCAGATCACTCATCCTTTTATGTTTTACACTATGTTTTTTTCTAACCTTTTAAATTGTTGAATACGCAAGTTACTAAAGAGGATATACCTGAACCAACCTTGCAGCCCATTTCAGAAACTTGAGCTGAAGTCCACCAACGAGGGAAGATTGGGTTTCATTTTTTCCTCCCTATGAGTTGCAATGAGATGGAACTAGGAAGGTGTTTCCAATCTCGATAATGATAAAGTATGTGCACCACATTGAGCATTAGACGCAATACTGCTCCTTCAATATTCTACAGCTGCTGCAAAAAAACTCTGATGTTGAAGTGTGTTTTGTTTAGATGGTTCTCAAAGATCAGTTGATGAGATGTGGTTTTGTTTTAAACGATGCAACTTGTGTTTGAAAACTATACTCAGTTATGTGCTGAGTTTATTGATGGTCCGATTGAAGCATTTCATTTTGTCTGTTCGATCATGATCTAATGTGATACATATCATTGAAAGATTGGCGCCAGAGAGTTGGATCTGTTTCCTTGCAAATTGTTTGTTCCATCAGAGCTATTTTTCTGATTTGTGGGTGTCACTTGATTGTAAAGCAATGGTTATAGGATTCGAACCCTAACGACTACTCCCTAATAGGCTAGACTCTACCACTGCACCATTCCAAGAGATTTCTCCTAAGAGACTAGATACACCAAAGACTCTGAAGCTCCTCTCTGCTATACAAGTTTTGGGGGATGCCCACTGCAGTCCTACCACTACCTGCCCATTCATCACCCTCTTTCTTCTGAACTCAGGCAATATACTTAAAAGTAATTGGTTTTCTGAACAGCTTAAAGTAAATAATTCAGGGTAAATTTTATACACACTTTTTGTAAATAGGCTTATTTTCAGAGACATTCTCTTCCGATTTTGAAACTTTATTGACACCCATTGCCAGAGTTTGTGTAGTAATGGAGCAAACGAAAAAGTTATTATTCTGAAGTTATCCACTATTTAACATATTAACTGTTTTTACATACATGTCCAACGTCTCTTGGGTATTAATTACATTAAATTAAACGTTAATTGGATTAAACACAATGTTTACTATGAAACTAAATTAAACATAATGTTAATTTGATGAAACTGAATGTTAATTTAAAAAAAATTAATTTGATAAAAAATATTAAATTCATAAATTTGATCCTTAATTGGATAAAATTGAATGTTAATTTGATACAATTGAAAGTTAATTTGGTAATTCATAAAATTGAATGACAATTTAGTATGTATTTGATGAAGTTGAATGTTAATTTGGGATTCAATTAAAGAAATGATGTTAACTTGATCAATTGGATGTTAAATTGATTCAATTAAATGTAAATATGATATAATTAAATGTTAATTTGGTGTAAATTTAATAAAATTTAATATTAATTTGATAAAATTGAATATCGATTTGATGAGATTGAATGTTAATTTGCTGAAATAAAATGGTAACTTTATAAAACTTAATATCCATTTCATGTTAATTTGGTATTAATTTGATGGAATTTAATATTGATTTGATAAAATTGAATGTTAAATTAACAAAATTGATTGTTAATTTGATTAAATTGAATATTAATTTGCTAGTAATTTGATGAAGTTTAATGTTATTTTGATAAAATTGATGAAATTAAATATTAATTTGGTATAAGTTTAAATAAATTGTATGTTAATTAGATGAATTAAATGCTAATTTGATGAATGTGAATAATAATTTGATAAAATTTAAGGTTAATTTAATGCTAATTTAATAAAATTGAATATTAATTTGATAAAATTAAATATTAATTGTATAAAATTAAATATTAACACGATGGTTCAGTGGTGTATTTAAATCAGGTAGGAAGGGGGGAAGTGCTACAAACAGTGGTGTGTTAGTGCAGTAATTTGTGTAAATGGAGACAGATATGGGGTGTAGTGGTCGTGAGGAAGATGGGGATAAAATTGGCATTTAAAAAAATAATGATAACATTACTCTTTTTTGTAATTGTGAGTAATGGTTCGTCATGGCAAGGGGTGTATTTGAAGGGAATATACAAACCAGAAGAGAATGAGTGAAATTTTAGAATTGAGAGCGGATGCGGCTAAAGTTAGATCTATATATATATACAAGGAGTGTAAACAATAATTTAAAAATAACTCTATACTCACCTATACAAAAGCCTTTCTAGTTGGCTTTTAGTGTCTATACATCTTTCTTTTTCTGGCGGCGGCGGATTTAACATGGGCAGCTGCCCCCACTAAAGTTTTAAAAAATTTTGGGATTAAGGTGTAATTTTAAAAATTTTAAGAATTTTTTAAATTTATCCCATTGAAATTTTTTTAAGTATAGGATATATTAATATAATTTTTAACCCTTAAAAGCTAACTTTTGACAGTTCTTCCTCATTTTTCACGCCTAGCAGTTGCCCCCACTGAATTTTTAAAAAAATTTGAGACCTAAGTGTAATTTTAAAAATTTTAAGAATTTCTTAAACTTACCCCACTGAAATTTTATTAAAGTATATGATATGTTTATATAATTTTATACCCTTAAAATCTAACTTTTGGCGGCTCTTCTTCACGCGCTACTTTTTTTTTTTGTAAGAAGACTTCTTTGTCCAGACTTCCAACCGGCAGCCCTCTTCTTTCTTTTATTTAATTTCTTTATTAGTTCCTTTGGTATATTCATCAACAAATCACCCTATTGGATTCAATCATCGTACAAATCAAATTTAAAAAAATCCTAGAAGATTATGTTGAAACTAAGGAGAGGTAATCTATTAACCAAATTTTGTGATAGTAGTATTAGCACTAATCTAAAATCAGATTTTTTATATTAGAAAATTAGTTTAACTCTTGTAGAATTGATGGTTGTTTGGTGTATTATTTATGATTTTATGTAGGTTTTTTTTTGTTTCGTCTTGGGTCAGCACTCAACTATTTTGAATTTTTGTTAAAGCTCATGTTTAGATTGATTATCTAAAATTCTTGGTTAGTACTATTTTTCTTCCCTATGATTAAATTGCGTTAATAGATTTCTTGAAATTCTAGTTGAGATTATATTTTGATTATGTGTAATCCATTATCTCATTTGTTACGAACTTAATGACGAACTCTTAAACTTGAATCTAATTAGACAAAATTATTTTTTAATCAGTTATGAATAGATTGCCCCAACTGAAGCAAAATCCTGACTCCGCCCCTGTTCTTTTGGTTTTTGTTTTTTTCTCTTATCGATCATCCAATTCGGAGATTACTTACCTCACTTGAATATATGTAGTAATTTATAATTGAGTGAAATTGTTTTAAAAAAAAAAAAAAACTGTCGTGGGTATGTCAATCCTAAGTTTGATAATACTAGCCGGTGAATATGTGTGCACCGAATAACATCCGGTCTAGTTGTGACAGTTCTGACTGTGGGGGGTCTAAGTAATACTTTCGTAAACTTCAGGGGCCTAATATGTAGAATCCACGTCAGATGGTGTATATTTTTTTTATTATCAAGACTGTATATTTCCTTCTAGGTAGTCCAAACTATTACATCCTTAAAAGGTTGGGTTGGGAGAGGGAAATTTGAGGGGAAGAATGATGTTGTTTCTTTTAAGTGAGGCATTAAAGAAAGAGAGAGTGACAATTTTGGCAATTCTAATGTGCCCCTTGTAAACGGCGAAGATGCTCGACACAGGCAAAAGTTCCACCGGAAAAGTGAGTGAAGAAGAGGAAGATTACCATGAACGAAGCATAAACAAAATCAAGGACATGACTCAAGCCACAGATCTGGGATCTAAACTAGACTGGAAGATACAAGAACCCTTGTAAGACTATCCTACAAAGACATGATTCAAAACCAGAAAACAACACAGGATGTGAGATATGTGAAGGATCTTAATGACGAGGAGCTGCTATCGGATGAGCAAGAGGAAGACTCTTCATCGAGAGTGCATATTCGACTCACAAAATAGGACAAGAGATGGATCCGGAACCTGTGAAAGAAATCCGATATAGTTAAACCTTTTGGGCGGTCGGTGAGTTACACCTTTCTTTCCACCAAATTAAAAAGTATGTTACAACCGAGATCATCGACTTAGGTATGAGATACTTCACAGTTTCCTTTGATACAAAAAGGGACTACATTAAGGCGCTCCATGGTGGCCCTTGGTTTCTCATCAATCAATACCTCTCAATCCATAAATGGGAGGCCGACTTCAGACCAACCATGACAACCGTAACAAAAACGAAAATCTAGACACGGATCCCTGAACTTTCGGTGGAATACTATGATCCACTCATCCTATAGAAAATAGGATCCGAGTTGGGGCAATTGCTCCAAATCGATACATACACCTCTAAGAAAGAGAGGATGATTTGTGAGAATATGCATCTAAATACAACTAGAAAAACCGCTTGTGACAAAGAACAAGATTGAGGCCGAAACATGCCCTGTTTTTTATGAGGGGATCTACTCGTGTTTCTTTTGTGGACGAGTGGGACACTGAAAAAAGCTATGTCCAGCGGCACAATCGAAGGACCACCAAGGAGAATGGTGTTAAAGACCCACCCAAGGAGACAACCTACTAATCTGGGGTGCGGGGATTACGATGAATGGACGGTTGGCCAGTATTGTAAAAAAAAAGAATCGAAACAAGGAAAAACCTGCAGATCCGAGTCAAGTTCATAACCTAAGATGTAGCCTGACCGCCGAAGAACTCAACGGTCTACCGAAGAGCAGTTCGGCCCCCACTTGAGAGCAGATGAACAGTCGACAAGAGTCCACATGGCAACTAATACTTCAACCAATCTCCAACCAACACGTGGCCAACAACAAAATAAAAGTTGGACTTTCCAATGGTAAAGAAAATAGTGACCAAAAAAAGGTGATAGAGAGAATAAAAAGATAGAGGATACAAAATCCAAGAGAGTTTATCTTGACTAATTGCAGCAGATCAAACTAACCTTAGTTGTAATAAATTATCGAGAAGTGCAAGAGAGCAATAGAGCCAAGAGAGAGGATAAGAAGGCTATCAAAGAGGTTTCAAAAAATATTGAAAAGTCCATTATAGAGGTTGGTTCAAAACCAACCAAAATCCAATTGATTGTGAAGTTTATTTTTTGAGAGATAGGAGATTGGAACCAGAATGATGACGATGTGAAGGAAAAGAATAGCCCTACAATGTCTAACTTGTAGTCAAGTAATGCACAAGATACTATAGAAGATCAATTTTTTGATACGGAGATAGATTCACACCTTCTTTCAGCCTTCGAATCCTTAGAAAAGGAGGAATACTACGGACACTCCAACATTCTCTCTACAGCTAATGCCTAGCCCAATAACCCCAATAGTGGCACCATACCCATGGACATTCCAAATTCGTCATCTATTGATTCCTCTGGACTGGGAATCCATAAGCACTCTAATATGGGCACCCCATCACCTATGGGGATAGCAAGACCAAGAGATACAAAGAGCATGGGAGGCCTTGATGGAAAATAAATTGGCAGATCATCATGGCAGTAAGGGGGTGAACTCTATGGGGAAACCCTCATTTATTTAGATGCCTAACCAGCGGATCGAGCAAGTAGCAATAAAGTACGTGGAGAGATACCCAAATGCATCAGAGAAGAGGATTGCACTAAGTAGGAAGATGGTAAGGGGCTGTCCAAAAATGGAGAAGTTGGGGTTAGTTCCAGAATGGGCAGAATTAGGGGGGATCCCAATTGAGACAATAGCTCTAAGCCCAGTAAATAAAGTGCTCTAGGTATTCATTCAAAAAGGGAAACTAAGAGTTCGCGTCATCATAAGATCCACCCATCGAATGAAGATTGGATCGATGGAGACCTATTTAGCGATCTGTCCAATATGGTTCTCGGAGGTGGGCTTGATCCAGAGTTGGAGGAGACAATTCTTTTAAATGCAACAAAGAAGGCCTTCCATCCCAGGATGTTGGAAGGGAAATGATGTTAGAGATGAAGATATTGTTCTGTAACTATAGAGGTGTTCAACACCAAGAGTTGAATAATACCCTGACGGAATTGATTCAAGTACACCAACCGAACATAGTGATAATTTTAGAAACCAAAGTTGGAGGGGAGAAAGTTGAGAGAAGAAGCTACTTCTTTGATCTAGATGGTGTCTACCATGTGGATCCTTTCGGGTATATGGGGGGGGGGATCTGAATTTTGTGGAATTCACATGAAATTAATGTTAACATTGTCCAGCGTATGGAGTAAGAGGTGCACACCTTCATTGAGGTGACTTCCTATCCCCCTCGACTTATTTCTTGCATTTATGCTAGTCTTAGCTTGGATTGTAAAAATGTTCTATGGATAAATTTTGAAAATTGTTGCTGAGTCACATTCACTCCCTTGGATGATAATGGGGGACTTCAATGAAGTCACTCAGTCGAGAAAAAATTTGGGGGATTGCCAATTCATAGAGGAAGGGTGTCAAACTACCTGGATTGCATGGACCACTGCAAAATGATTGACTTGAGGTTCATTGGACCAAAGTTTACATGGACCAGTGCTAGGCAATCAAAGGGACTTATCATGCAGTGTATTGATGGATCTTGGTGCAACCATGAATGGCTTCATATTTTCCTTAAGACAACAGTCATCCACCTCTCTAGAACCGAGTCAGATCACTGCCCAATTCTTTTGAAAACTCTTTTCCATGATTTAATCCCAGAGCGGCCTTTCCATTTTGAGACTATTTGGCTGGGGCACAATCATTTTAATGATGTGGCTAGAAACCAATGGGGGGGGGGGTGAATAAACCAATCCATGTTGAACTTGAATCACAATCAAAAAAATCTTCGAGACTAAAATAAATATGAATTTGGGAATATTTTCCATAAGAAAAAAAAGATTGTTAGCTAGGTTGTTGAGATGCAAAAAACTATTTGCGAGAATCCTAACCCCCATCTTTTTAACCTGAAAAAAACCTTGAGAGTTGAATACCGTAATATAACTCACCAACAGGAGGAATTTTGGGCTTTAAAACCTCGGGTAGAGTGTCTAACTATTGGGGATGGTAACATCAAGTTTTTTCATACTTCAACATTGACTGGACGAAGGAGAAACAAAATCCTAGGACTCAAAAAAACAACTAAGGAATGGAATTACAATATAGAAAAAAATCAAAGAATTAGTGGTCTCACACTTCAAAAATATTTTTGCACCTTCATAGGGGGAGGACAATCCGGTGGAGTTTTCCTACTAACTTAACTCCCCAAGGGTAAGGGAGGTTGACACAGCCACCATAGAACGAACCCCCGAATCCAATAGAGATTACAGAAACAATGTGGCAACTCAAACCAAGGAAAACTCCTAGTCCCGTTAGTTTCCATGCTATATTTTATCAATCCCAATGGGAAACTATTGAATTAACCATCCAAATTTTCATCCACCAAGTCTTTGACACAAAAAGAATCAATCCTAAAATCACAAAAACATTTGTGTCTTATCCTAAAAATCCTGAGTCCACAGTCCCTCAATATCTACCAACCAATTAGTATGTGTAATACTGTTTACAAGGTTTTATCAAAAATCCTAGTGAATAGATTTAGACCACTTTTGGACGACCTAATTCATCCTTTATAAACTAGGTTCATCCCAGGGAGGCAAGGGATTGATAATGCGATAATTGCACAAGAGCTCATTCGGACATTGGAGAATAATTAAAGGGGAAAAAAAAGAAACGATCATTAAAATTGACTTGGAAATGGCCTATGATATAGACTCATCAGGGAATTCCTAAAACAAAATCTTGAGCGAATTAATTGCCCCAAGAAACTATAAATATTACAAGGGAGATTTCCTGCAATAGATTAAGATAGCGATCCCCTATATGATTTACCTCTTCCCAGTATCGGGTAGCATACTGGCGAAGGGTCTCAGATTCCCTGCTTCTGAGCGTTAGCAACGATCCAACGTCTTTGGCCCGTTTACTCCCCGTAATGAATCGAGCCAGGAACTGCCTCGTCAATTCCTTCCACGATCCAATACTGTTGGGGGGAAGCACCTTGAACCACTTCATCGCAGAGTTCCCCCAAGCTCATAGGAAACACTCGGCAGAGGAACCGTTGGTCCGAATGATAGAGGGACATCATCTGCTTGTATTGCCTGAGATGGGCTTCGGGATCGGACCGTCCGTCATAAGTTTTGAACCTCGGCATGACAAACTTTCTTGAAACCTCCATCTCTCCGATCTCCCTGGTAAAGGGTGTTTGTATAATCATGTAACATTAACACAATCCGAGAATCTTCATAAACTTAAACAAACACCATTACAAAATTATCATGTCATTTATTTCTTCATGGTGGCTCTTCTCTCCACCAAATGATTATTTATTTTTTTAACCTCTAGTTAAATCTAATGAATAGGTTCTCTAGTTTTAATAAATAATACCATTAAGAACACAATTAAATCACTGAATTCAATCAAACTAATTAACCACATTGAACTACAAATCAAAATTTCAAGATATAGAAAAATATCCAACTGAACTAACATTGCTCAGCAGATCTGCTTGTAGCTGCGAGGACAATTAATTTAAATTCTCTGCCGCTGTGACTTCTCAGATATTACAAAAATATACTCACGCTGCAATTAAACCAAATCAATAAAATAAAAAATTCACCATTTCAAAAAAAATTGATTTAACTAATCTTTTGTTGTTTCAATGTCTATTTTGCATTATTCAAGCATTCGAAAAAATATGAATATTAGCAAGAGGAAATCATATATAAAAAAAACTATACTTAGTTTTGAATTTTCTTTTTTTTTTTTTGGTGTAATTGGTTTCACTTATTTTTTTTATTTGTCATTGTTATTTTTTTATTAGTAATTAGCTTGACTTTGAGTTTTTGTTTTTTTTATTGATAATTAGTTTGACTTTGAATGTCTGCAACTTAAAAAAAAAAATTAAAATTTATAGATGAGAAAATATTTATATGTTAAACTATTTTTCCCAGGTTATAGACATTTAAAGCCAAACTAATTACCAATAAAAAATAACAATGACAAATAAAATAAGTGACACCATTTACTCCAAAAAAAAATTCAAAACTAATTTTATTGATTTGGTTTAATTGCAGCGTGGGTATATTTTTTGTAACATTTGAGAAGTGAGAAAATATTTAAATATATTTTTTTTAAAGTTGTAGACATTCAAAATCAAGCTAATTACCAATAAAAAAAATAACAAAAATTTAAAGTCAAGCTAATTACCAATAAAAAAATAACAATGACAAATAAAAAAAATAAGTGATACTAATTACACCCAAACAAAAAATTCAAAACTAAGTATAATTTTTTTTATTTGCATCACTTTTTTCTTGCTAATGTTCATATTTTTCCGAATACTTGAATAATGCAAAATAGACACCGAAACAACAAAATGTCAGTTAAATCAAATTTTGTTTTGAAGTGGTGAATTTTTTTTTATTTTATTGATTTGGTTTAATTGTAGCGTGAGTATATTTTTGTAACATCAGAGAAGTCACAACAGCAGAGAATTTAAATAAATTGTCTTTGCAGTTACAAGCAGATCTACTGAGCAATGTTAGTTTAGTTGGATTTTTGTCCTATATTTTGAAATTTTGATTTGTAGTTCAATGTGGCTGATTTGGTTGATTGGATTCAATGATTTAATTGTGTTTTTAATGATATTTTTTATTAAAACTAGACAACATATTTATTAGATTTAACTAGAGGTTGAAAAAATGAATACTCATTTTGGTGGAGAGAAGAGCCGCTATGAAGAAATGAATGACATGATAATTTTGTAATAGTATTAGTTTAAGTTCATGGAGATTCTTGGATTGTGTTAATGTTAAATGATTCTTCTTCATTTTAACCCTTAAATTTATTTTATTGAAGACATTCTTGGATGCCCTATTTTCTTGGTGAGTTTTTTGTGTTAAGAGTATCTTTAGATACGGGTAATAACTAATATATATATATATACATGAGAGGGAGCATAGAGATGAAAAAATGTGTTTAAAACGTGAGAGAGAAAGAGAGTTCTATACATATAGAGTTGACTATATGAGATATAAAGAGATAGAGAGAGGGGGACAGTTATATAAGAAATGAGAGTTTTAGAGTCGTAAAAGAAATAAAAGACCAATTAGGATCGTTGGATTTATAATTCTCAAACGATGAACTGTGAAAAGTTAAAAACAAACAAAACTAGTTACTTTATTATATATATATATATATATATATTTATTATTATTTTTTTTTAAAATTCGAATCCGTTAAATATAAGATCAAATTTGGATTATTGATGAAAAAAAATATCAATCTATTTCTAATAATCAGATTCAGATACAGATCCAATTCGGATCAGAGCAACTAGTTTTATGGATGAGGTTTTAAATAATTAAATTGAAGTATAAGAGTTCTAAGTGCTTTAGGCATGAGGATGAACAGATGAGCGTGATTAATTTGATATTGTTTTATGTATTGAAAATAAGGTTTCGTTAATTAAATAATAGTTAAGTTTATTATGCGTAACTCATATGAACCATTAATCGCTTGTAAATTTATATATAAACTCATGACTAAAACACTTTTAACTCACCTATTTTAATGTATGGTGAAAAATTGAACAATAGTTGTTACCAATTTATAATAATGAGGATATAAATTAAAATTTTTAATATTGAAAGAGATAAAAGGACAAATTAAGAATTGAAGCATCTAATGCAAAGTGACATTAGAACAACTCCAACCAACTCAACAAAGGGCATCTCTTTTAGCTATTTTGTTGAGCCAATCCAAAAAATTTGGCTCCAACTAGCTCTCTATTTCACTCGCTAATCTGTCTTCCCTCATTCTCACTCATCAGTTCTGGCTAGCAAGACCCTCTCTCATCAGAGCTCTTTCCCCCCATTTTTGGATCATTCTTCATTAGAGTTTTGCACCAACTTTGGGGTTCTCGTCTTCATCAGAGCTCTCACTCGTTTCTCTCAGAGTCTCCCTGCACTCTCAGACTCTCTTCGTTGGTGGAGCATCTCTTTTTCTCAACCCCACACTATCTCCTCCTCTTCTTCCTATCTCTTACTTTTACTCTTCCCCTCCCCATCTCTACCTCCAAATTCCCCTAAAATCCCTCACGCAACATCCAAACCTCCAGATTCCTCTGTGAACAGCCTGATTTTTCAAAAAGATATGGATCTTTTCAGTTCAACAGACTCCCCATTAAGAATTGTAATTTTTGATTTGTTGGATTTTGTGGTTTACTTGATGGGACTTGTCTGATTAAATTAATTTGTGATTTTTGTATTATTGTTTAGAATAGGGGAAGACGATTCCTCTCTAAAAATCCAGTAAAACTCTCTAAAAAAATTCAAAAATTTAGCAAAATCTCTCAAATATTTTATAATATTTACTCTTGCAGCCTATCTTTTATGATTTTTATTTTTGTAACCTATAATTGATTAAATTTATATAATGTATAATTAAATTACTATTTTTTAAATTTTATTATTAAAAATTAGTTAAAATAATTACCCTTGTTAGCTATTTTAAACAGTTTATTTCAAAATTATGTCTCCAATAGTCTAGCCATCTGCCATTGCTATTCCCCGTAACCTTCTTTCCCTAGGAAGCTCGCTAGTTTGTTTTTGCGCCAATTTTTTCGGTCTACAGCACCCCCATTTTCCTTGGTTGTCTTCACTCGTCGTCTTCATCAAGCACACAGCGACTTCATCGTCCACCGAAGGTATGCTCTCTCTCTCTCTCCATCTTCGTTCATCGCCTCCATCAACCACACAGACTTCACCCAAATGCTATATGCCATATAAATCCTATATACATACCCAATCTCTCTCTCTCTCTCTTGGTTCCCACTGACAAAACCCACAAAAAATTCAAAAAACTCACGAAATCCCACCCAAAAATCGACTGAAACCCCACCCATCTCTCTCTCTCTCGATTCCCACTGAAACCCCCAAAAAAATCACCAAAAAACCAAGTCAAAACCCCAAAAAATCACACCCAAAAATGGACTGAAAACCCCACCCATTTCTCTCTTTGCGTCGTTCTGTACGGGTTAGGTGGAGAGAAGACAACCGAGGAAAAATGGATTGAAATCAACCATTAATTTTTATTCTATCACAAAAATGGATTGCGTCGCTCAGTGGTTTTTTTGATTTTGGACATGGGTTTTGGAGATCGAGAGAGTTTGTGGTGGTGAGTTTGGATTTTGGAAATGGGTTTTGGAGATTCTTGAGATGAGTTTTTGATCATTTCAAATGGGTTTGTGAGATGGAGTACTGATCACCCATCTTTTACTATATTTACTCTTGTAGCCCATCTTTTATGATATTTACTCTTGTAGCCCATAATTGGTTAAATTTAGTTGAATTGCTATTTTTTAAATTTTGTTATTGAAAGTTAGTTGAAGCGGTTAACTAAAATAGATAATGTGGTTGGAGGAGCGAATTTGAAAAGTAGTTAACTAAAGTAGATATTGCAATATTTAAATAAATTTTGAGTAATTATTTTAGATAGTATTGTTGGAGATGCCCTTAGCCCGGGTGTCCTCAATGATTCTTTTCTTCTTATATCATCACTAAGTTGAAACTTTTCAGGGGATTTTTCATAAGAAAACATGCCAGAGAGTTCTTCAGCACCTTCTCAACTTTCAGGTACTAACTTTTCTTGTGATTTCTTTGTTATTCAATTATTTATTGGCAGTTTGTTTGATCTCTAAAACTGAATGTGTAAAAATATCTGTATATGTTATTTTGTTCTATCGGATTCCAAAATATGAATATTCTTACTCCTATAGATTTGTAGAGATGACTTTGACGGTAGAGAGATAGAGCTAGTTTCTAGATATCTCATTTTCAATTTTCTTTCATATGTTTTGTTTCTTTTGGCACCAGAGAAACTTCCTTTTGGATAAATAAAAAAGAAACCCATTTTAAGGTTGAAATTAACGGGATGAATCAAAAAAAAAATAAAAAAAATACTCTTTTTGTTTTGTTTTGAAACCCATAATATTACTGCCTGAAAACCATACATCAGGGGTTAGATTGCAGTTACTAGAAAACCATTGGAATTTTTAGTTTTTTGGGATTCTTCAGTTTTTTTTTTTTTTAATGAAGTTTTACTTTTTTGGTAGACTGCTGTCTCAGAACTTCTTGCTTAATTTTGTAGAACTATATGTTCATTGCATTGTGTTGAATCAGATATTCTCCATGTGACCGAGTCAGAGGCGTTTGATGAGGAGGAGCTCAATCCTAGGGAGCGGTTGCTTTCTAACAGAAACTAGTCAATTGAGTTGTATTTGAATTCAAATTCTGTTTTAATAAGTTTACTAAAATACAGTAGGTAGTTAATTCCAAAGAAAGAAGCTAAAACATTTATGTGTATTTATGCTAAATATTGTGATTTTCTCTACAGTCCGCTTGTTCTGATATATGTATATTCTCGTGTTAATGGAATTAATGTGCTTTATATTGTTTCCAATACACTGTAATTTAGGTCTTTTTACCTCAACTGGGTTTATTATAAGCTTGCTTAATGCCAAAAATATTAATCAAATTGAATTTCCCTTCCCTATTAACTAGGATGTCAGAGAGGAGTGAACTGTCATTTCATGCTCCTTAGAATTTTCATTTAAACATGGTGCCGCTTTATTTTTTTACCACGTTGTACATCTCTACCAATCACATTGGGCCTCTGTTATGGAGTACTGTAGATGCGAGGATAAATTCCACAGCTATCCTACAATGAAAAGTTTTTTAGCACATTGACTTTTCTTGGAAAATGAGATCTAATCTGTTTGCCCATCATTATTTTTCTCCCAATTTCTTTTGTTTTTCCTTTCAAATTTTGTTATTGAACTCCAAAATAATATTCCCATTTTGGTTCTGTATTCTATATTGAAGCACCCGTACACGAATTGTATTCTAGTTCTTCATTGTCTTGAACATTTTTTGGAGAATGATGATTACCATGGGTTTACATATATCTCTTTTTGATTAACAAACACAAATTCATTTGAGCCTGCTTTCAATAGTCTTAGGTTTGTGTCGAATTTGGCAATCAAAAGAATTAACTGGATGTGTTGTTTTGTTTTAGCAGTAACAGAGTAACTTCATCAGATAATTTACCTATCTAATTCCTAGTATATTTTCCCCTTGATTGTGTAGGCTCAAATCATGAACATACTTCACCACCTCCTTGTACGCTTCTAAGTGTTGGACAGGTGAATGTACTCACACCTGGTTTTGCTATTTATGTCATTTCTCATGTAGCATTTGGTGATATATATGGAGGTCACACACTTAATATGTTAGCCATTTCATATATCTAGTATACATTTTTTTATTGATTGACCTATATGTTCAATACACTAACTAAGGGTGGTTACCTCTCTTAGCGTAGGGTTAATATTTATAGTCACACAAATGGCAGATTAGTTATTTGATGATTAGTTATTTGTGCATCAGTTTTAAGAAGTTTGGCCATGCTAGCAAGGCAAGGTGTGGAAGGCTGACCTACCCAAAAAAGGTGTGAAAGGCTTGGTAGTTCTACAAAATGTTTAAGAGACACAAATTTATGCCACACATGTGATATAAAGTCTTAGTAAGCTGGGTATGGTAGGGATGGAACTTGTGCTGCAAGTACACAATTTTTCTTTTAACTTGGAATGCAGGAAACGGGGATGTACATGTTGTACTCAAGGGTAGGATTAGGGTTATAGAGGTTGCATTGTCAATGCAATACCTTGAGAAATTCTCTAATGCATGGTCAATTGTATGTGGAAAAGTGGATGCTTTATGAAACACATATCTTTCTATTTGTATGACACTGCTACATTGGAAATTATGATGTAGTGTTTTTGTCGCTAAATTGAAGTGTTCTGAAATGATAGTATACTATGTTTCAGAACATATGCGACAGATGTTATCTGCAAGTAGATCAGGTTTCTGGATAATTCTGCAATGGATGGATATCAATTATCAAGCTGTATAGAGTCTATAGACATATAATGTTAGGATATGTAGTGAACAACCTGCTATTTGTGGTTCCATTTTTAGCATGTTTCTGCCACCACCGTTATTATTCTATAAAACCTATAATTTGCGAACTTCCAACATAATGAATAACTTACAGCTGGTAGCTTGGCACAGTGCAGGTTGTTTACAGATACACCAAAATTTTTTGAGCCATAAAGTAATTGTGATGACCTTTAGAACTTTGATTACTGGTTTCCCAGTTAATTTTAATGGTGGTTTAAGCTTTATGCAGTTGTTCTATATCATCATACCCTTGCATACTTATTAAATCCCAACCTTCAAAAAGAAAACAAAAAGGAAAAAAAGAAACGCAAAGCATATTAATGTATTCTTCCGGTCTTATTGTTTACATTGTTTGTTTGATCATTGATGTCAAATAACTTCTTTCAACTTATAAACTGTTGTCTATAAATATGTCCCGGGAAAAGTATGAGTTTGTTTACAAATAAAAGTAAACGTAGGAGTTGATCCACACTTTTTGAGGTGCTTAGGTACTGGGAATGGAAAGGAACCATGTAATTTGGAGTCCAACATCTTCATTGAAGAATAACAACTATCAAGCCTGAGACTTAAGTGAACATTAGCTTGTGCAGCATGGTTATTTAGATATTGTACGCCTTGTTTTGGAAATTGAGAAGTGTCCTTTGAGCTAACTGCCTAACTTTTTACAGGCATTTTCTGGTACTCAGAATTTCTCCATTCTTCGAAAGGACGAAGCATGGAGAGTTAATGTACGGATTCAAGGTTGTGACCTCAACCATGGCTATCTATGTGGCACTATGGAAGCACTTGATGTTCCTATGGCAGACTCACCAGTAAGAAACTTCTGTTTGAGAAAGATAGCTATTAGTATCTATTTCATTTTTTCATTTGGATTCTGTTTAATGATGCATATGTAGCAATTTTACTTGAAGCAAATCTCTTGAATGTCATCAGTAGTTAATGAGAAGATCGTAAAACTGAATAGCTAGGAAGTTTGCGATACCTTTCATCTACAAGGTGAGATGTTGAAAGCTTGGGAGTAGTTTAGCAAGACAGTATTCATAAAGCAGGCATTCTTGTTTTGGTTTCATGAGTATATATATATTTAGCATCACCCAATGCACTTATATGCTACCATTTATAGATCCAGCATAAGTCAAGTCTTTTACCAAAATTAGATGGAATAAATTTCTGGTGTAAACCTTTAATAAGGCAAAACAAAAAGGGTGGTTTGCTCCCCGCTCCCTGCTTCCGCCACTGCGAGGTGTAAGGAGGGTCCAATATACGCGGCCTTACCACCATGCAAAGAGGCTATTTTCACGACTCAAACTCTTGGTGATTGTTAGTAATGGGCCTTCTATCAGTCTTTCCAAATATCTAAGTCAGTTTGAATATGTGATTGTATAAACTTCACTAGTGATCTATTTCATAGTATTCCCAGGCTTTTTTTCTTAAAAGGGATAATGAAATAATATAAAGGGAGGAATTTGCAAACAATTTGTTAGTTTCATTATTTTAATGATAAATTTTTCCCATGGGGTTGCTTATGTGACTAAAATTAGAATAGGGATGGAAACAAAACTTATTAGAATACATGGGAAGACGTATAACAAAACGACTACGGAGTGCTTGTTGGGTGGACTCCCATGACTTTTTTTTTTTTGGGGGAGGGGGAATCAGGTGTAGTTCAACCTGTTGGAGGCTCGAATTTTTTATGACATCCACCATCTTATCTTCTTTACTGTCAATGATTAGTTTCCCAATGAGTTAGTAGTATTAGGCTACTAGCCACTAGGAGTAGCGACTAGATTTTAAGTTCCCCATACAAATGGCTGTTCAAGTGCCTTTTTTGTCGTTTTACCTTGTATTCAGGTTGTTACTTTCTGGGAAGGAGAGATTGTTGACACAAAGAATCATACTTTCTTCACTGGCAAGTGGGAAGCAAAGTAAGTTCATGTCTAACAACTTACTGCTATTTGGATTACAGCCAACAACCATTCTCCCCATGATTGGTTTGGAAATTATGAACAGGCCTGAAGACGACATAAGGCACTGGACCAAATTTCCATCTTTCTCACCCCTTCTGGTAATATAGTTAACCTTTTTCCTTGCCATTCAAAACATACGCTCTCTTGATTTTCTCTGCCCTTCTCAGAGCAAAGTGGAGGTTGATGGTGGGAGATATTTGGACTTAAGTAACTACCCCTGCATATTTATGGTAGTGTGTTTTTTGCGATTTCATTGAGTGAAGGGAGTTTACGCTATGTCATAATTAATTTCCATCTTCTGACTTTGACCGTGTAGAGATGGAAAGAGCAATACTTTGTGAATGTTGGAACTGACTGTGGGTTAACCATAGCTGGTTTCTACTATGTTTGCTTCTCCTGTAGTGATGGCTCCATCAATGGTTTCTATTATGATCCCAATAGCAGGTAACCCCTTGGTTTTATTTCCTTGTTTTGTCTTAAAATCTTGTCATAGTTTAAATTTACTCTTTGCTCTTCTTTGGAATAAAAATTCCTAAGGTATCACCTCCCAAAAAATTCCTAAGATACCAGTTTCCTGTTTTGTCATTTCATGGAGTTGTATATAAGGTCATATAGACCAGATCACTCATCCTTTTATGTTTTACACTATGTTTTTTTCTAACCTTTTAAATTGTTGAATACGCAAGTTACTAAAGAGGATATACCTGAACCAACCTTGCAGCCCATTTCAGAAACTTGAGCTGAAGTCCACCAACGAGGGAAGATTGGGTTTCATTTTTTCCTCCCTATGAGTTGCAATGAGATGGAACTAGGAAGGTGTTTCCAATCTCGATAATGATAAAGTATGTGCACCACATTGAGCATTAGACGCAATACTGCTCCTTCAATATTCTACAGCTGCTGCAAAAAAACTCTGATGTTGAAGTGTGTTTTGTTTAGATGGTTCTCAAAGATCAGTTGATGAGATGTGGTTTTGTTTTAAACGATGCAACTTGTGTTTGAAAACTATACTCAGTTATGTGCTGAGTTTATTGATGGTCCGATTGAAGCATTTCATTTTGTCTGTTCGATCATGATCTAATGTGATACATATCATTGAAAGATTGGCGCCAGAGAGTTGGATCTGTTTCCTTGCAAATTGTTTGTTCCATCAGAGCTATTTTTCTGATTTGTGGGTGTCACTTGATTGTAAAGCAATGGTTATAGGATTCGAACCCTAACGACTACTCCCTAATAGGCTAGACTCTACCACTGCACCATTCCAAGAGATTTCTCCTAAGAGACTAGATACACCAAAGACTCTGAAGCTCCTCTCTGCTATACAAGTTTTGGGGGATGCCCACTGCAGTCCTACCACTACCTGCCCATTCATCACCCTCTTTCTTCTGAACTCAGGCAATATACTTAAAAGTAATTGGTTTTCTGAACAGCTTAAAGTAAATAATTCAGGGTAAATTTTATACACACTTTTTGTAAATAGGCTTATTTTCAGAGACATTCTCTTCCGATTTTGAAACTTTATTGACACCCATTGCCAGAGTTTGTGTAGTAATGGAGCAAACGAAAAAGTTATTATTCTGAAGTTATCCACTATTTAACATATTAACTGTTTTTACATACATGTCCAACGTCTCTTGGGTATTAATTACATTAAATTAAACGTTAATTGGATTAAACACAATGTTTACTATGAAATTAAATTAAACATAATGTTAATTTGATGAAACTGAATGTTAATTTAAAAAAATTAATTTGATAAAAAATATTAAATTCATAAATTTGATCCTTAATTGGATAAAATTGAATGTTAATTTGATACAATTGAAAGTTAATTTGGTAATTCATAAAATTGAATGACAATTTAGTATGTATTTGATGAAGTTGAATGTTAATTTGGGATTCAATTAAAGAAATGATGTTAACTTGATCAATTGGATGTTAAATTGATTCAATTAAATGTAAATATGATATAATTAAATGTTAATTTGGTGTAAATTTAATAAAATTTAATATTAATTTGATAAAATTGAATATCGATTTGATGAGATTGAATGTTAATTTGCTGAAATAAAATGGTAACTTTATAAAACTTAATATCCATTTCATGTTAATTTGGTATTAATTTGATGGAATTTAATATTGATTTGATAAAATTGAATGTTAAATTAACAAAATTGATTGTTAATTTGATTAAATTGAATATTAATTTGCTAGTAATTTGATGAAGTTTAATGTTATTTTGATAAAATTGATGAAATTAAATATTAATTTGGTATAAGTTTAAATAAATTGTATGTTAATTAGATGAATTAAATGCTAATTTGATGAATGTGAATAATAATTTGATAAAATTTAAGGTTAATTTAATGCTAATTTAATAAAATTGAATATTAATTTGATAAAATTAAATATTAATTGTATAAAATTAAATATTAACACGATGGTTCAGTGGTGTATTTAAATCAGGTAGGAAGGGGGGAAGTGCTACAAACAGTGGTGTGTTAGTGCAGTAATTTGTGTAAATGGAGACAGATATGGGGTGTAGTGGTCGTGAGGAAGATGGGGATAAAATTGGCATTTAAAAAAATAATGATAACATTACTCTTTTTTGTAATTGTGAGTAATGGTTCGTCATGGCAAGGGGGTGTATTTGAAGGGAATATACAAACCAGAAGAGAATGAGTGAAATTTTAGAATTGAGAGCGGATGCGGCTAAAGTTAGATCTATATATATATACAAGGAGTGTAAACAATAATTTAAAAATAACTCTATACTCACCTATACAAAAGCCTTTCTAGTTGGCTTTTAGTGTCTATACATCTTTCTTTTTCTGGCGGCGGCGGATTTAACATGGGCAGCTGCCCCCACTAAAGTTTTAAAAAATTTTGGGATTAAGGTGTAATTTTAAAAATTTTAAGAATTTTTTAAATTTATCCCATTGAAATTTTTTTTAAGTATAGGATATATTAATATAATTTTTAACCCTTAAAAGCTAACTTTTGACAGTTCTTCCTCATTTTTCACGCCTAGCAGTTGCCCCCACTGAATTTTTAAAAA